AACACTGCAAGTACAGCAGTAAATGGGCACTTGTAAAACTTTAAAACCATCAAACAGCCTTTCATTTTATTAATGCTTTATTGAACATTATAAAGGTTTTGTAAAGTATTTTTTCAAATATTTTAGGAATCTTTATCTAAATAAGCACAACATGAACATGCAAAGAGGTCTTGTGATGATCATCTATTTCAGGAATTTTGAAGCAAAAAACAGGAAAACAAAAAAATCAAGATTCTCTCAGTGTTAAGTTTTCTATGTCCTGAACAAAACCAAAAACCCCAGACAAACATCAAAAAGACTTAAATTAAGCTTTACTGACAGGTTTTCTAATTACATTATCAAAGTGGTACTTTGTAGGGGCTGAAGTAAGAGTCTGAACATGTGCCACAATGCTTCCATACTGTTGCTGTTAAAAATCACCAGGAGCCTTTTTTCCTGTTTTTGTCACCCCATTGCTCTTTAGCAAATGCAACAACAATCAGCAGAGCACTGATCTGATTGCATTTAACTCTGTGTTACCATAGCCAGGCCACAAAAACAGGCTGTCTGCAAGGAAAAAAATCATTTCCCCCAGGCTTCATCATAATTAGAGAATGAGCTAGACGTCTGGTCCTGCCCAAGAATGCCCTTTTTAGGAATAAGCATCTGATGTGAATTGGTTGCTAGATGACAGCATTTTTAGGATAGAGGCCGAAACAGTGAGACAGAGAGATGGAGAGAGTCCAGTATAAATGCACACACCAGCAGCTGCACTGAGTCTTGGCTCTGCTCTATTTATGTACACCACATTTAGCGGTTTCCTGTGTTACCTCTCCCACCGGGAGAGATCAGAGGCTTCATACAGTTTACAGAAGGTGAGTTTCATTATAGCTTCACAACAGCCATAATGCAATAGAAGCTATTGACAGTGAGAGTCCAGAAAGAGTCCCATGGGATGTCTTGGATACAGCAAGCTGTTGAGTAAACAGAAGGTGTGCTGGCTTTTATCTGATTTAAGCCCCGACTCTTAAGAAAAACAACTCTTTGCTCCACATGATGCCTCGTAGATTTTCACAATAACACAAACAGATGAGCTTGGTAGTCAAACAACTTTGGGGAGAGAATCTGTCTGGTAATCACGCTGCTTATTTTATATGTTCAGCTGAAAGATACAATGCTTCTTTTTGTAGAACTTTGAGTTTCTTTATTGATTTTAATTGGAATCACACTAGTATACCAGTTTTACTTTAACACCATCAGACAATATTAACTTTTTTGAGCTGCTGCCTACTGTCATTTAAAAACATGTCCAATGTGGTGGCAGCTGATTCAATCCGTGTAGCGGGAAGGTAACATTTGGACCACAGCTTTGTCAGCTCTTCCATACTGTTCATGTCTTTTGTTTGCTGCTGTCTCACCTTCCAGAGTGTTTCTGCGTCCGTCAGCCCCCACCACAACATCAAACTCAAAGTTAGCCACAGGGTGATCAGCAGGTCGGATCGCAGCCCTCCACCCAAGTCCTGAGAGAGAGAAACAAGCAGAGAGTCAAATACCCATAATATAAACCCAAGGGATATTCCTTCTGTGCTGTACCCTTGCACCAATCAATCCACTCACACCATGTGGAGTTTCAACTGAGAAGGGTTGATGTTTTGTTCAAGGACATTTCAACAGTCCCCTTCAAAACATCGCTCCTTCCTGGACCACTTAATTTGTCAGTACAGAGACAAATGTTGAGAATGATTAGGCACACTTCAGCACTGTTGGTGCTTATAGTTGCTATGTTGCAGTTTTCAGTAAGACTGCTCTTACTATGTTGCCAGTAAAACAAGGACAAATATGGCTATTCATGCCTCATTTCAAAATGAAAGATGCTTCATAGCTATAAAGTCAAATACATCTGTCTACAGAGTGCCGGTGTGGATTGTTGTGCAAGTAACACACTATGATAAATGCCTGAATTATTGGTTTAGATTTAATAGCATCTATTTTAAGTATGCAGTGTTAGGTGCTGCAGAAGCGTGAGACCAGCACAGTAACAGCTCGGCAGTTTGTTGTGCAATATCACCATGTGGAAAAATGCATTCCATAATGTCAAGAGCACAGCTAAATCTGTCACAGCAGAACAGGAGGTAGAGATCTGTGTCTAAATTTAGGCAAGGCTCTCGTTCTTATCAGAATATTGATATTACAGCTGAAGGGGACAACACCTGACAACAACATGCAAGTTCTTTTCTTCTCAAGAGTTTGTAGCCCACTGTGGGATGGGAGGGCCAAGCAGTCATCGACAGTGATGTGAACTTTCTCTGAAAGCAGCTGCATATTGACTTGATGCAGTTCTCAAATTAATCTAAGTGGATTGGAAGTGCTGAATGTCAGTAAAATGTCATGAGATGAGAGTAAAAGATTCTACTACTGTGGTTTGTTTTAAACAAAAGAAAAGGAAACAATGTTCATTCACTGCTATTTGTATATAGTATGTACTGTATACATTTGAGCAGGGAATGGAAGTGAGACAATATACTTGACCTCCACTAACCTCATCTAAATAGAATGAAAAACAAGATCAGTGCCAATGTTTGCCTTGTGCTTACTGGTGGCTGTGAAGGAAATTAAATACTGCAGAATGAGAAGTCCCATGCTGCCTAACCAGCTGTGAGAAGCAGCCAAAGCTGCACAGTAGGAGGGTAAATAATGATTCCCAGGAAGTCGCGCACGTGTCGAAGAAACTGACAAATGCAGCTTGATGTTTATAACAAGCTTTACACATTGTTAAATTTCTCACTAAATATCCCAGTTGTACAGTTCCCAGCTGTTTAAATCTCCTAATGTCCCCAAAGCTTTCAGGTCATAAACCAACTGTCAGTGGATGAATATAGTCAAGTCAAGTAGCTTTTTATTGTTATTTCAGCCATGTACAGTGGACACAGTGCATGGTGAAATAATGTTCCTCCAGGACCTCAGTACAACACAAAAACATATACAAAAGTATAAAAACCGCACAAGACTACACGTCTAAGAGACAATTATACCAAAGGCCCCAAATGGGACTGCACATATCTAAAAAAATTAGACTAAAAATCCTAAGAATATAAATTCACGGTTCATCTATTGTTTGGACATGTAACGGAAGTGAATGTGTCAGTGGATACCCTCATTTTTCTGATCCTCTGAAGGTTCCAGCAAATCAACAAACTCCACATTGATGTGAAACTCCACCGCAACAATGAGGGCGACCTTCAGGAGGATCAGCTGCAGCTGCTGAATGCCTGTTGGACACAGACACATGCACACTAATGTTTGTATACACGTGCAAGTTTTAATTCTCAAGATACAATACAAAGTAAATAATATAAAATACCATACAAAATAAAAAGATAAAACACAGAATAGATCCCATTAAAATTGGTGGGCCATAGTTTTTAACTTGAATACAGACTGCACAATTTCAGTGTCCAGTAAAATAAAATACTGTACATTTAATAGGAAGATCAGGGTTCAGAGAGGTTAATGTGATTAGAGGTCACCAAAAAGCAAAACCTGGGAACCTGGTTTTTATGTTCTGTCAGATACTCACTGATGTGGTCTATGGCCCCAACACAGAATTTGCCACAGAACTTTTTGGCCCCAAGACCCCGCAGGTCATGGATGGTATAGGGCCAAAGGTGCAGCACGTTGTTCCTGGAGAAGGAGTCTCTCTTCTCAATCACCACCACTTTGGCACCCATCAAAGCAAGTTCAATAGCTGTCCGCAGACCACAGGGACCTCCTCCGATGATGAGGCACTAAGTGAGAGAGAGAGTGAGAAACTGACCTTATCAGCGGCACAAGGCACAAAGAAATGAGCCACATCACGGTATCATCTTTGTCATATTAATAACAAAAGACAGACTTTTCCAGGAGCGTGTGTGGTGCAAAATGGTTCATCCTAATTGTTTATTAACATAACCAAAGGACATTACACCAGATAACGTAGATCATGAGAGGGAACAGCACTTTACTGAAATACTTGAGAATTTAGAGGCTGCGTGTTTCACTCAAGGGCACTTAAGTCTTAAGATGGTTTCTCCCTGTGTGCGTGGGGATTGCTAGTAAAGCACTAAACATGAGGAAGAGAGTTTACATGTGCCTGAAGCAGTGCATTTACCAGGAAATTAACCAAAGAAATTTCTTCAAACAGCTTTCACCAACATACGTAAACCATCACTAAAACCTTTACATATCAAAAGATGTGATTCAAGCACCAGCCTCCGTCAGGAATGCATGATGTCAGTTTGTTGAGGTTACAGCGTCTGAGAATGTGTGGCTCACTGACATCAACGTCTTGACTGGTGAGATGAGAGAACTGATGCATGTGTGCTGGCACAACTATCTTCCTGCCTTTGAAACATATCAAGAGGGATTGTTTGTTAATGTTGATTTGCTGACATTTAATCCAGAACCAAAACCACTTCTGACACTTTCCCCTGCTGTGCTCATCAGAGTGGACAGCCACTTGTCTTGATAGCTTCAAAAATTTGTGCAAAAGTATCATTCATTTCTCAGGAAACATTTACATTTTTTTGGCCTTCTATTCATTGAACAGCAGAAAGAGCTATCACTTTGTTCAATCTCTAAATCCCTGCAATGTGCAGACAGGGGTTTGTCATATATTTTAACAGGAGGGCTCACTTCCTGCTACCTTGTGTGCCCAACAACCAAAGGATGTGGAAGCACCACTCCTATCAGTTCTGTGAAACAATCAGAGAGGGTGCTGTTAACAGTGCTCCCAGTGGCAGCTAACCAAAATCCCCCATCATACCTTAAATGGCTCTCTGTTGCTGCACCAAAAATAATATGACTCAGCTTTAGTCATTCAGTATTCTCCATCTCTGAGTGTGTGGCTCACCTCCAGGGTGGTTTCACTGGGCTTGTGGGTGATGAGGGACACAGTATTTCATTACGTGTTGCCTGGGGTTATCAGGATGAGGTATTCTTCAGTATGAAGCACACACAGGTGGTGGAAACGCTGCCTGGACAAGCCTGCCTGCCAGCCCAGTTTTTCATGAGTTTTATTAGCTCGATGTACTGTATGTTCACAATGTGCATGTTTTGTATCTAAACTAGATCTGCCTATCAGCCAATAGCAGAGATGGGCTGTTTGTCTGAACACTTTTCCGTTTTCGGATATATTTCCACTGTCTGATATACTTTTACAGATACGAGGCTTTTCCTGAGTTAACACATCGGCTCCACATCTGCTGAGTCAGGACGCAGACGCTTCCTTTCAGCTTCCCACCTGTGACCAGCTCCACTTTGCCCTGATTACATCTGTCCCCTGCCGTATAAGTGATCCAAATCAGCAAATTATTTTAACTTGTACTCCTCTGGGCTATAAAATGTCAAAATACAGTATGCTGTATTAAATGTCAGTCATAATCCCCCAGGCCCAAGGCAACATTATCATGTTTCCTTTATGTATTTATGCTTCTACCACTTGACTGTTTGCTTCAGCCCTATAAGGTACACAAACAACGTAATCTCAAACCTAAAACACAATTGTCAAACTGTGACTGCAGAGGCAGTTTGCTTTAAGGTTGTGATCTAACCTGTGTACTACTGTATGTACAGTAAACTGAATCTGGGGAGTTTCATAAATCCAGCAGAAGTGATCCCTGCAATGTGCAGACAGGGGTTTGTCATATATTTTAACAGGAGGGCTCACTTCCTGCTACCTTGTGTGCCCAACAACCAAAGGATGTGGAAGCACCACTCCTATCAGTTCTGTGAGACAATCAGAGAGGGTGCTGTTAACAGTGCTCCCAGTGGCAGCTAACCAAAATCCCCCATCATACCTTAAATGGCTCTCTGTTGCTGCACCAAAAATAATATGACTCAGCTTTAGTCATTCAGTATTCTCCATCTCTGAGTGTGTGGCTCACCTCCAGGGTGGTTTCACTGGGCTTGTGGGTGATGAGGGACACAGTATTTCATTACGTGTTGCCTGGGGTTATCAGGATGAGGTATTCTTCAGTATGAAGCACACACAGGTGGTGGAAACGCTGCCTGGACAAGCCTGCCTGCCAGCCCAGTTTTTCATGAGTTTTATTAGCTCGATGTACTGTATGTTCACAATGTGCATGTTTTGTATCTAAACTAGATCTGCCTATCAGCCAATAGCAGAGATGGGCTGTTTGTCTGAACACTTTTCCGTTTTCGGATATATTTCCACTGTCTGATATACTTTTACAGATACGAGGCTTTTCCTGAGTTAACACATCGGCTCCACATCTGCTGAGTCAGGACGCAGACGCTTCCTTTCAGCTTCCCACCTGTGACCAGCTCCACTTTGCCCTGATTACATCTGTCCCCTGCCGTATAAGTGATCCAAATCAGCAAATTATTTTAACTCTTACTCCTCTGGGCTATAAAATGTCAAAATACAGTATGCTGTATTAAATGTCAGTCATAATCCCCCAGGCCCAAGGCAACATTATCATGTTTCCTTTATGTATTTATGCTTCTACCACTTGACTGTTTGCTTCAGCCCTATAAGGTACACAAACAACGTAATCTCAAACCTAAAACACAATTGTCAAACTGTGACTGCAGAGGCAGTTTGCTTTAAGGTTGTGATCTAACCTGTGTACTACTGTATGTACAGTAAACTGAATCTGGGGAGTTTCATAAATCCAGCAGAAGTGAATCCATCCATCATCTATACCGCTTATTCCTGAACGGGGTTGCATGGGGGGGCCTGGAGCCTATCCCAGCTGACATTGGGCGAGAGGCGGGGTTCACCCTTGGACAGGTCGCCAGCCTCTCACAGTCTTCCCTTGATATTAAGTCTAAATCTAACTTGAACGAGCTTCTTCTGTTGAATCAAGGTGTGTTAAGATGTGTTTCCACTATCGGAACCCAACGACACCCTACTTCACCGTGCATAACCTCCCAGGTTGACGCGAACTGTCCTGTTTTGTTTTGCCATTGTTTTTTCTCTGTGTAGGTCTGTCTACGCATGCACTCAGCTGAGTAGAGGGAGAACAGACATCACTCTTTATCAATCAGCCAGTACCAGAGACTGTATGAGCAATTTATCAAACAGCTATTGAACAAGCAGAAATGTGATGTCTATATCGCTTTTCCCAGGGTCCACTCACTGAAGTTCCCATTTTACCTCTACACCAGTGAGTGCGTTTACACACCGTTCTTGTAATGCTAATAGCTGAGGTGTGAAGATGCGGATATTTAACCAATCACAGGCAACTGCTCCGCGTGTATGCACCCTCTCCTCCCTCTTCACGTTCCTGGAACTTGATTTTAGTACTACCTCCTCAGGGGTGTCGAAATTTAGCTCCTGGAACGCACCTCAATAGCAGATGGAGGGCAGTGGAAACAAACACAGAACCCATGAGTGTCACCCAGCTCAACGCTTTCGGTAGATTCCTATAATGGCAAATCCCTTTATAGTCTCAGGATTAAAACCACACTGTGGCACTCAACTCTGATCATATCATAGCCATCATATCATGGCTTTAGAAAAAGATAAATTTGTAATTTGTGCACAGTAGACTTTGTGAAGGAGAAACCCACTGTGTCAGTGCCACTGCAGCAGCTGTGTCAGGCCATAAAACACTGACATCACATCCTTTAAAGACTGCTGCTACAGTGGGAATATGAAGACGAGGGACAGAGCGATATCACATCTGTCACTGTTATAGAAATGAGCTACCATAAACACAGTAGTCGTCACCTTGTGATTCTCCCAGGGAGAAGTGAAATGAATGATCAAGTAACAGCAGATTGTCTGTCCTGTGAGTAATAAAACAGGCTTCATACTGCACATGTGTGCTCATTAAATCCAAGACCTTTGAAAGAAAAGGGGAAACTCTTAAATTCAGTATAAGGATACACTACCTATCGAACGGAGGTATCAAATAAGTGATTTACGCCTATAAACCCCTCACCTTGCACTTAGATCAGTGACATAAATTTGCAAACTAACACCATACTGAGAATGACCCCAAAAAAGCCAGCCTAAAAAGCAGGAAATACATTGTAAACAATGTATGGTGTACTTTGGAAAATGCCCAGCAATAACAAAACTACTCTATATAATATGCATGAATTTATTGGGCAAAACACATAACATCCCTTTTAATATGTACTTAATTTTAGATCTTGCTCTCATCAGTAAAATAATTATTATAATTACTATAATTTTTTGTGGTATAAAGCACAGCTGTACAAGTATATCGTCAAACTTACCTTGGTGCCCACACAGGTCTGGCCTTTTTTGTATTCCTTATGGGACATCCTCTTGTCCAACTTAGTCCATAATGCTTTGGCCTTCCAGGAGGTGACCTTTGCCTTCAGACTGCTGTAGAAGGTGCTGTTATCCGCAGGGTCGAGGTCCAGGTTTGTGCAGAGCATGCTGAAGGCCTGAAGGGTTTCCTTACAGGTCGAGGCCTGGACAAAGTTCTCAAAGAGCTTCCCCACATTATCCCTTTCCTCCTCGGTCTCTCCCATCTTCCCCCACTACAATGGGGATGGTTTTGTTGTGCTGAGGCTCCTTCTTACTTCAGCGCTCTCTGCCAGATGTGGCTACACCCACAGCTTGGCCAGCACTGCCATGCCTAGTCTGAGAAGGAAAAGACACATAGCGTAAGAGTCTGATGTCATCTCATGGCAAAGAATCCAACACACATGGCTTTGGGCATATTCTATTATTAGCCTGATAAAATTAGTTCCATTTCATTACATTATTTCAATGTATTTAATCTGTGTAAAGATTAGAATGGTAATTAATTTAAGTGGAGAACAGCTGCATTTTATCAGCTCTATGACTCCAGTTTACATGATCTAATTATCAAGAGGGCTTCCATTCCTCATCAAGACTCACTATCAACCGTAAGTCAATATGCCTTTTGGAACTCGGTAAGCTTACACCCACACTCACAAGTTAACAAGTACAGACAAGGCTGTGAGAATAAAATAAGCCAGTCCATCATTGTCAAGCAGCTGTCAAGCACATTTACTATGTGTGTTTCACATAGGCTTAAACCTATAAAATGATCTGTCTGTGGTTCTTGATACTACTTGTTGGTTCAACCCAGGCCCAAACTTTTTAACAGCTTCAGGGTTCAGTGATGGCTCTGCAGAGAACAAAAGGTTCAGCCTGCAACATTAGATTTCCACCATGGAAAAACTATTAAAATGGTTCTGTTGAGCAGGAAAAACAATGTCACTTTAACAATGGGAATCATATGTAAAACATAAAACAGTAACAGTAACAGTATAAACAAAGGTATTGTGCATCTCAGTAGATCCAAAGAACAAGGCTTCCTTTGCTGCAGTTTAATCATTAATCAGGAAGGGGGGGGCATCAATCAAGGTCAAAGACTGAACATTTAGAGAAAGGTAGAAAGGGCTGCCACTTATAACTTCCCAGAATTACCTCATACTCAGTATTTATTCCTCTAGCTTTAGAAAGGACACGAGATCCTTGAGCACTATGGGAGCTTTAGCAGTCTTGCCTGTAATAAGACTGTAGCGTTTTTCCATCTAGCTCTAGTTGTATATTTTTGTAGTAGCCATGAATTTCAGACAGTATAGTTTTTCTACATGAATTCCTCCATATAGAAGTAAAATACTTCTTAATGGCAAGGCTAATGTAATAGCTCCATGAACTCAAGACTATGCATGCTAATATTCACTATACGTCACATATGGTATACAGTACATACAAATACTACTGTTGGGTCTTTGAATTTATTTGCTGGCACTTCTACAGTTTGCAATTCTTATACACACAATATTTTGACTGTATATACTAGAGCCTGCTGTATATTATTGAAATCCAAAAAACACAGTTTCTGTTGAGCACTTTCTACTCCTAGAGCGCAGCGCAGATCATGGATGAGTAGACAGGAGAAGTATTTGTCTAGTGGTATTTTTCATTCCAGAGGAAAACCAGACAGTGTTTTCAGCACTAAAGAGAGAGGTCTTTGAAACAAATTGTAAAGCACACCCACACCAGCACAGGCTGATTGGATGTGACTGGGTACAGAAGTCCACCCTCTACTGAGGTATGTGCATTCAATGTGCTTAAATATGTGCCTGTGTGTCAAAGATAAGGTTACTAAAACACGCTCTCCTGTTAGAATAGAGCAGAACAGAATTAAACACAGTGTAGTTCTCTCTCTCTCCTCCAATCAAGCATGAATAGTTTTAAAATCATGCCAGAATTAAACATCAAGGCAAAATGTGGAAATTTTCTGCATTAACCATGTGTGCACTCACTTCGGAGGAGACCACAGCTTCCGTAAGTTTTGGGAAAAATCTGCCTTTGATATTTTAATGTCCCATGGAGTGGGATGGGCAGGGTTAGAGGAGAGGTCAGGCTGGCTGTGTATCTCTGTATCAGACTCCCACAGTAATCTATTGCTGTCACACCACACCCTAAGGCCTCAGGCGCCATGAAACTGTTCATAGAAAGCTTTAGTCTGGGAAAAATACTCCACCATATGCAAATCAGACACTACATTCAGTCTTGGGTTAGAGCATGTTTGGCTCAGAGTTGAATGGTGTGAGATTTTGAATGTTACTCCTTTTGTCTCCAGGCTAAAATTTGCATATTCATTTCCAACGTCCTCTTTGGTCGTGTGTTTGCACCCTGTTTTGACATTGTTGTTGTTGCTTTACATTTCAGAGTAAGATTCCAGCAAACCAGCCCACGGACATGCTGTACACCCAGGTGACCCCCAGCCTCCTTTACAACACCTTCAAACAGCCTCTTTCCTCCAGTCATCCTCAAACTCAGTAAGCTGTGCCACATGGCTAGAAGAGCTCTGACCTGCTCCATCAGCACGAGTCTGACACCGTGCTCGGCCTCTCGCTGGCTCCACCAGTCAGCTACTCACAGCACCACCTCCATAGTTTTACTCTGACTGTCAGTAAGTGACAGGCGATGACTGAGACAGGCCTGATATACGATGCAGGTGCTTTAATCTTTCATCCATGACAGGAAAATTGCTGTGTTTTCTACCATGTGGTATGTGGAGTGTTCAGGGCCATATTATCTTCTACAAAGTCTCTGTGGAGTCTTGACAACTGAATTTAAAATAGGTTTGTTCTGCAAAAACCAGTAAAATGAATATCTATAACACAAAAACAAACTTTAGGTTTAAGTGCTGCTTGTTATAAGAACAGCAGAGAATAATGTTGATATCATTTTACAGACATTTTGGCCAGTGTTCAGTGACCTCTTGTGCCTTTGGTGGAAACAAAGACATGATGACTGCTCTTATGATTTCACATTTTAGGGCCAGGTAAAGTGGCAAAATAGCACAAATATTAAAACCATCTGTTGTACAAGTCTACAAGGGCTAATGAGCAGGTATCACTTAGTGTCTTCATAGCAGAGTCAGTGCTCAAAACTGCATTGTTGCTGACCGAGTCCCGTGATTTCACCACCCCAGTCTGACAGAATGGAAAGTCACTTGTGGGCAGACAGAACAAACCCACAGAGCGGCTGTGAAAATACAACTAATGACACACAAAGCAAAAAAGATGGAAAGAAGACACGACTAAACCATGTAATGTTTAAAAGTATCAAAAGAATTTGACCTCGTGCAGGTTTTAAGTGTTCTGTCTGTTCAGAAAGCATTCTGATTGAGTGAAAAAGATTGTGGCTAACTGAGAAAAGCACAGAAAGCAACTCAAGTCTTTGCAAACATTGAATCATTTATATAATAACCTGTTAGCTTTATTCTACAACTGTGAGAAACTGCCCAAAGAGAAGTATCTGCACTTTGTGCAGCACAGATTCATAGGGCGGATATGTAATCAAGTATACATACTGTATAGCAGGCTATCTGTTTCTAGTGTGATAGAAGGAATGTTAGGAATATAAAACATGTACTTATTACACCTGGATGGTTTTAATCTTTTCATTGGATTTGTTGATAATAACACTATAGAATATTTCCATTCTTATCCCAAAATTATGCATTTAACACGTTGTACAGCATAAGTATGACCACCCAATAGTGAGTGAACAAGCGTTAGCCAGAAGCTACTTGCAACAGCCCGTCTTAGTTTACACATACAGAATAAATCTGGCACTGACAAAGCTGCAATGTCTTCATAGCTTCAGGCTATGAGAATAGGAAGCTGACAACACAAGGAAAATGCCGGGCGTGCTGGGAAATGCACATACAGTCAGCTAGTGTAATTACAGACTGGGCTGGAGAAAACCAGGAAGGAACCCGCTGCAGGCTTGAGAAGCAGGCAGCGTGCCTCAGAAAACCTTACACCCACGTGAACATCAGTCCACCAGCTCTGCCCTTCACCAGGCCCCAGAGCTCCACAGTATTATCCCAGCCTTATGAAAGCTGGCTCCATCTTCACACAGTAGTGCCAAAACAAAAGAAGATCTATCAGAAGCAAGGCGGAAACACTGGCAGAACTTAAGAGGAGAAAACTGTTCATTTACACCAACAGAAAAAAAGCTTGTGAAGCTACGGGGTTGCTGCTCCACGAGGTGTGTTCATCACATGATTTATCTGGACACACTGAGCACGGTGATGCCACACAAACAATTCACTTCAACAAATATTTTGACCCTAATTACACATTCTCATGTGTTACAATAAACTATTTAATTGAATCTATTACCATTACAATGACTGTAAAAAAGAAAAATGAAAGAAGCTATCAGAACAATATAAATTAGCAGAGATCCATCAAAATGTACGAAACAAACCAGAAGGTGAAGACAAGTTGCAAACTGAGTGGCATGAGGGTCCAATATCCATGGATATCTTTCATTCATCCACATAAAAGCAGGGCACTGTGAAGGTTTAGGTGGCAATGTTACAGCCTGGCAGGAACAGCAGATTCTGTAAACCCACGGTCAGTAAAGCCAGGCTCAGAATAGACAAGAATCATGTTGCAGAAGAAAACAGCACATGACCTAAAAAGATACCCACAGAGCTAGAACCTGTAAACAGGAGTGTCTCTGATGGACACACAAATGTACAAAGTCCAGCTCAATAAAAAGCAAGTGTCCTGGGTTCAGCTGTGTAAAATGTAGCAGGAGCACAAAATAATACTTCTCACAATAAGAATTAAACATAGCAGCCCTGACACTACAGACTTTGTTCAAGAGGAGTGTTTTGGCAGTTAGACTGAATCCTGATGATGCAACGCAGAAGAGATACAATACCTTATTTTACATTTCAAAAAGCTCTGAGGGCTGAAACAAAGTGAATAAGTCCACTCAGACGCCTCCCATCCAAACTCTTCCTGTGGAGCGTGTCTGCTTTCCTGTCCAGATGCCTCTGTAAAATTCCACCTCTGTGTTTTTAAAGAATGACTAAGATATTAAAAACCCTTTTCAGCAGGCTCTGTCCCCACCAGATGGGAACTTTTAATGAAACCCTGGGGTTCATTTATTAAAGTTTCCCTGTACCTCCTTCAGAGGCTCCAACTGAAGTTAGTTTAGATGTCATGTGTCCTAACATACAGTATGTTGCAATGTAGCAAGCTTTACTTAAAGCGAACGTGTGGTTTTTTCCTTGTACCTGAAAATATGTCCTATTTAAATCTGACCTGAGGTAGCAGTGTCTGATTCTCTGATTACTGAGGGCTGTGTTGTGTCTTTTTCTGTTTTTAATACCACAGTAAATGTTTTATTCCATTACAGAGAACAGCAAACATCATGCCCCAGCTATCTCTGAGAGCTCCTATCGCTTTTGTGTCGCTGATGTCAGGACATGTGTGTCCAAAGAAGGAAACATATTGCAGAGAGGAAGGAGAAAGTTTACGCCTCTCTTCAATACAAAACACAAGCAGTCAGTTTATTGGGCAGCGAGAAACCCATTTACATTGATTCATTTGACAGTATTTGCTTGCTCTATGTACTTGTCCATGTGTCTTTTTAACTACACTATTTGTCATTTCTACAAAAATGGTTAAAACTTTTTCCACATTTGTTAGTAATAATTATATCTTTACCTGAATGCAAGAAGCTTTAACCACTGACTGTTAATGTGAAAACAAGAGGGCTTAAAGAGTGAAGCTGCAATCTTACAGGCAACTCAACTGAGTGTCAGCCTGAAAGGCTTTTGTAACAGACTTATCTGAAATGCTTTGATGGGTTATCTACAGTCAAAATGTGAAAAGGACCAGGTAATAAAATTACAGGCTTTTTAAATTCTTCTTAAGGATTGTTATAATGTAGGCCTTCATTTGGCTGCATGAGAGGAGAGAGATGTGCAGCTCTCTGTAAGGCTATTTTTATCTCCGCACACTGTTGTTAAGTTCAACTCCAGTAAAGCTCATGATTACAAACTAAAAATGAAAGTCTGGCATGAGAATTAGCTGCTAAAAGATAGTAAAGCAGTGCTGAAGCTTATGGGCTGTTGATTTTTTTACATTTCAAAAATGTGGAAGTTTGTATGTTAATTTTATTTCCCATTGTATTACAGTGAAGTCCACAATGCTCGCTACATTTGGACCTGACACGCAACCTTGTTATCTGCTTACTATATACTTCTACTTTACTGTGCATGTTGAAAAGAGAAGAACATGAATCAATAGTTAAATCTGTTCAGGAAATAGGCCTTGCAGCTATTTGGCAAAAATACAAGGCTCTGTTTAATAAAGCATTTGCCAAATGGCTACTTATCTTGTTTAGTAACACACCCTTCACTGTATATTTTATATCACAGCACATGAAGGATTCAAAAACAGTTCACTGAGAGTAAAATTCCAGCAAGAAAAGGACAATGTGGTTGCAGCGGAAGGTTTATACACAGTGAGGTTGTTAATCTTTATGAGCATAAATCACTTGGACCACCAGCGACTGTGCCAGAGACCAGATACTCTATGTATCAGCACTGTTTAGATGTTAGCACCTTCACTGGCAGGGCTCATTTGTAATAAAATGGGAATCTTACAGTTGGATGGTGAAGGGTAAACTGTATCTTTAACTTAAAGTAAAGAGGAAATGACTGGGCGCAGCAGTGGGAAGGAGAACTACCACAGTTTGCATGACTCTGTTGACCCTGCTTAAAATGTTGCTGGACGAATCAGGCATCATCTCGGAAGACATATGAATCATACCAGGCTGAGCTGAAACGTGAAAGAGGAAGAAACAATGCTGGGGTGTTTATAAAGCCTTGCGTATTGATCATAAAATGTTTTCCTTATGACTCCCTTTCCCCTCACTGGACCAGTTAGTTTTGAGTCATCTATTTTTTCCTGCTTTTTCAATAACCTGGTGTTTGCCAAAGGTTCAGCTGTGTATTTGTTCAGTTGCAGTTGCTGAATATTGTCCTGTAGTCACACTAGCATGCATTAACAGGCAGCAATTTGTTTCTTCATAACCCCAAAGACAGGCTGAGGGTCATTTACAATCTAGAAGCTGTTGAGCAGGTGGCATCAGCCTGAAAAGAAGCAGGCAGAGCTCATTTTGTGTACTGACTGATTGTGGGATTTTAAACAAACAGAAAAACGAACAAAGCAAGGGACAGCTCAGCTTTACTGGTCATTCCAGTGTTTAATGGATTTGTTCAAAAGTGACTCCTGGCATAACAACAATCAGTTTGCCCAACTGGAGATAACCTTCCTGTTATCAGGGAGCAGAGAGGAGCCCAGCTGTCTGATTCTCTCACAGCCTGACCTTTGATCTGTACGTGTGCGCACCTTTATCACTTAAACTACTAGATGTAATTATACTAAACCTTAAACATTCCAGAATACATATCTTACATTGCCATTTTATATTAAAATCATTAATGCGCAACCATCCAACACTATGTCGGATGTACAGTTCTAATATGCTTGTTAAGATTGTTAGTAGACCCTACTAGATAGTTTTAGTTTTACAAATTCTACTTTCTGCCTTTGTGTTGTCTATGTTATTAAAACGCATCCAGAGGCTACTTGGTTTCTGAGGGTCGCTCCTCTCGGTCAGGCTTCTGTCAGGTGTCTCAGCCGCGCACAAACTGCTTGTTTAGTGAAAAGGGATCAAACAAAACAACGCACCTCATATCTCAAATCAGTCCAAACGCTCCTTACTTCCAGCGTCTTGGTCAAACAAGGTCCGGAGCTGTTGTGTGAAGTGTGCCGGTGTTGTCCTCAGTCACTTGTGCTTGAGGGCGGTGCTCGGAAGTGGGCACATCCACGAGCAGCAGCTGTTTAATTCAGGATCCAGACTTTCTCATGCCTAAACCCTGGCTCACCAACCTGACGGACCGCCCGCCCTCCGCTGACAGCTGCGAGTTTTAAAAGCAAATATCAAGAAGAAAACTTCATTCTGTTACAAAACGCAGGCTTTGCGAGGCCCCCGGGCTCCATACGCCACTTAGACATTAGGCTCCATTTCACAACGTGTCAGCACAAACTGCAGCCTTCACAGCACATGGACAAAACCACTGAATAAACATTATCCAGGTGAGAGCGCACCGCAAACAGCAGGGTCCGGATATAAGCCTATTTACCATAAAAGCAAATGTCGCCATCTTGTGTCCAGACCCTGAAACTACAGTCTGGTTTAACGCTACTTATGAGACATTTTCTGCTTCACGCAGAGGCTATGAAAATGGCTGTGGTTTAATTTGTCCAGGCTGTGAGATCAGTTTTGGACCCTTTCTGAATCCGCCACAGTGTAATAAGATAAATGGGATTTTGTTTGTGCTGTGGGGGATTAACCTCCCATTGGGCACTGAGACACAACGTGTATTCAAAGCACAGCTGAGTTGATTAGCTGACAAACGGAAAATTAATCCGCAAAAATTTCGAAACCTAATGCGAGTGTTTGTTTATTTATTTGTTTGTTTGTTCTATAGGTGTTTGTAAATTTGCTTACGTGAGGTGACGAGCTAGGAGTGACGGAGCCGTGTCAGCTGTGGTGACGTTTATCAGCATCATCGCCCCACACTCAGACTGCAGCATCAGCATCAGCAGCAGCAGCATGATGCGAACGGCCCTGCTAGTTTTGGCTCTCCCAGCAGTCTGCAGTGCTATCCTCCCTGACATAGTGGACTCAGGCATCAGTCATATCCTGCTGGATAATTCCGCCCACGGACAAACAGATCAGGACCCCGTGTTTGTGGAAGTGAAGCAATTGCAAGAGGATCCGCAGCAAAAGCCCGAGGATGCGGTTAACCAAGTAGGTACAGTGTCATCTTTAGATCAGCATCTGGCTTTAAACATGACATAGCATCATTTCACTGCCCACTGCTGATAACAGTCTTTGGACTAAATTATTAATATGTGACCACTTAATGCACACCTTCACCCGAAATCTAAAATAATGTCTTGGATCCTTCTAGAAGAGCAGCGAGCCTGTCACCGTCAGTCCTCATGCCAATAACCTCCCTCCAAGTCATCACAATGAAACTGCTTCTGATAAAGTGATGGATAATGACTCTGTCCACACCTCAGTACATCAGGTACTAAAAACAAACAAACCTGAGATAGTGTATTTTCCTTTGTGAATGAAACTTAACAGATGTCTCACCTTCCCACAGGAGATGAACAACATTACTACCACAGCTGTCCAGTCCAGTGACCTAGGAAACGATATTGATTATGTGAGTTCATACAGGCCATTTTATTTAAACAGCAGTCTGTAAGCTGAGCTTTTGTTCCCCCACAGGACTTTTGACAAGTCAGCACTTCCACAGAAGCCTTCTTATGCAGCAAACACATTTATAAACAAACATGTTTCTTCACAATGTTGTGACAAAACCCTGTTCATAGGGCAACTTCACATTAACTTCGTGTACTTGCCTCAGAGTGTTACAGTCCATTGAACGGTGTGTTGTAGACACATTATAGGGACAGGAGAGGTCAATCAGTAAAACTGAGGGAGGTGACTCTTTATAAACATGCTGCAGGTTTTCTACCTGCAGAATTAGATGCAAAGAAGCAACCTACATTTATTTAGTGGTTCATGTTGTACATTGAATGGTAAAGTCCAGTGTTTCTCTACCTTCAGGACTGAATCCTGTGTAGAGTCACATGATATGCAGAGAAAATTGAATTTGTTTTGGCATATTTTACAAAAAAGGTTCATACAGCACATTTCTGTATATAAATCTGCCATGAAGAGCTCGTTCATGTTCTTGCAAATGTAAAATTCATATTTCACATGATGCCTCTGAGTGCTGAGAATCCTAGGGCCAAACCACTGAGTTAGAAAAGCTTGATGTAGTCCTTCCTCTCTTGTCTTTAGGGTTGCATCACTGACGAGGACTGTGGGAAGGGAAGGTATTGCTTTTATGACACACACAACTCCAGGTGTCTGCCTTGCAAAGCAACCGACGTGGTAAGTAAAGTTACTTTATATGGAGGCAATGAGTTTTCATTAAAATGCACTTTCAAACACACACACAGTCACCTCTGGTCAGCTGAGGTTTCATTTCAACCGCATTGCAGGTTGTCCACCAGTGTAACTGGAGTGTGCTGTTTGTGAACACTGCCCCCTAAGTTTTACAGGAAAGCATAATTCCTTGCTTCCCTTTCTTAAAAGACATCTACAGCAAAAAGTGTTTGTAATGAGAGCCTTCTCTGAAGAAACTAGACCCAGTTACTGCTGCTTCTCTGCTGTCTTCATTGGATGAACTGATGTAACAGAGGAAAAAGCAATGCAAAGGGACAGAGATACTGGCAGTCTGCCAAACAAACGTGGCTTGCAGAGATAATTAATAGGACAAGATCTGTGTCTTGTCAGTCGCTGCAAAGAGAAACTGGATGGAAATAACCAGAGCACAGTTTGGCATATCCATAAATCAACAATTCATAGAGGGTATGTAGGAATAGGATCGTGTCTCATTGCTATCACAGAGCGGCTGACTCATTTATTTTTAACCAAAAAACCGTTAGCAGACATCGTGCTTAGCTAATCATTAATGTTCCTGTGAGTTTCAGCCTCGTTAATGCGAAGGCTTTGATCTTGTTTTTGTGACTTTTAAGGATAAAACAAGTATTTGCATGAGATGAAATGTTGTTTGCTCATAAACAAAACACTTTTTCTGTTTTTTCAGTCCTGTACTAAGGATGAGGAGTGCTGTGGTGAGCAGTTGTGTGAATGGGGTCAGTGCAGTCAAAATGCAACAAAAGGAGAGGCTGGCACCACTTGTCAATACCAGGCTGACTGCAGCCCAGACCTCTGCTGCGCTTTTCATAAAGGTACAGTACAGCACACCACAGTATATGCTGCTTTGCCATGCTGTCAGAAAATGCATCTCTGTGTTCTCTTTGTGTGTTCAGCCCTGCTCTTCCCTGTCTGCTCGGCCAAGCCCATTGAGCGTGAGCGCTGCTTTGGAGCCTCCAACCACCTGATGGAGCTGTTGTCCTGGGACATTCAGGACGAGGGACCCAAGAAACACTGCCCCTGTGCAGGAGATCTCCACTGCCAGCACCTGGGGTGGGTACAGTACATGTAATAGCACAGAATGTCCTAAATCATGTATTTGTTGTTAAGTGAATGACTTGTTAAAATCAATCCAAGGTATTAAATGCATGTAAACCATGTTTCTACCCAACACTACACTGCTGTGCTCTCCTTTTTTGACAGGAGAGGGTCCATGTGCCTTAAAGGAGAAGACTCAAGTGAAGAAGACCTGACAGACACTCTATACTCAGAGATAGACTATGTAATCTAGATGTAGCTTGACTTGATTCGCATTGCCTTGTAAAGAGTTAGACTGGAGTTGCCACTGACTCCAGAGCTTTGTTGCAAAGAATCACTTTTGTTTGCGAGCTGAAGCGGTAACTCTTTACCGCGTCTACAATGAATGAAAGTACGTTTGTTTTATTTGCTATAAATGAGACTGACATTTACAGTCCTTCAAAGTTTCTGAAAATGTAGATTTAAGAAATTACTAACAAAAAACAAGAAACACCGTATTTGCAAAGACCTGTGTGGATACTAACCACTGATTCAGTATGTTTTCAGATACTTTCAAGTTTTATATGTTTTATGTTTCAGACTCATCTTAAAATAGATTCATCAGTCTACACATGATACTCCACAATGATAAAGTGAAAAGTGTTTTCAAGTGTTTTGAAATTTTTATCCAGTAAAGTAAATTAGGCACAGGTTGACTCTGATCAAGCTGTAGAAGCATCTCAATGGCCATTGATAGGAGTAGGATGCACCAGAGCTCAACTGCAAGTGTCAAAACAAAGGGTCTGAATGCTTATTTAAATGGGATATTTATCTTTTATTTCTAATAAATTTACCAAGCATTCCAAAAACCTGTTTTCACTTTATCATTGTGGAGGATTGTGTGTACACTGATGAGGAGAAAATTTCATTGGATCAATTTTAAGATGAGTCTGAAACAACAAAATGTGGAAAACTTGTACTTTTCCATACTGACTGTATATTCTCTGTGTAACTATAACACACTGAATGCAACTCTAGACACTGAATAACTCTACAAATTTAAACAGTGAGGTGAGTAATCACATCACCTGTATCACATTGTCCTGACACTATGATGAGTAGCTGTACTGTATTATTCTAATAAAGTGAGACAAAAATACAAGTTACTTTTCAGATGCCCAATTTACAGTCTCGCTGCATTTACTGTGAACAAGAAACCAAACACAATCATGCTTCATGTATTGTATAACCAGTAAAACGGTATCATAGTAGCAGGCCATAATACTGTACATTATGTTTGGGCTTTCAAGAATCACTCCCCTCAGTGTTACACCTATACTCATACACGGGGTCAAAACTATCATGAGGCAACAGAACGCGTGGTTTCTGCTAACTCTAATCTAGAAATATTTTTTAGAAAAATGAATTATTGTTACTGAACCATTACTATTTGAACTGCCCAAGTTCTTGTTCAGTCTTGTCATGGGCTCAAATTACAGTTTACAATTCAGTGCAGGTGTTGGCTTGTCAAGGAGAAGTTGCCCATATCTCTCTGTGTTCCCAAACATCACTTTGTAAAACATGCCAACACTTGCTGTTGCTTGTAAGCACTTTGTCTTTCATGCCCATCAACATGGCTGGCCCTTTTATCATCCAGGCTGAAAGGAGCGATGCCAGTTCAAGCAATACCTTTGGTTTATGTGTGAATATATAATATATACACCATAAACTTGTGCAGTGATGTTAAGCTGCAACACAGCTGTCAGGTTTAACATCTGTACCGTTTTTAAGCTCCTGAAAACCGCAGCTTGTAAGTCCTGTCTTTAAAAACAATGGCATCAATTGAAGTGAGTTAAAAAGCCGTTTTAATTTACAGTGACAGAAAACTGTTGTGGAAAAAAAACAAACATTTTAATTCATTTCTAAAATCAAACTATATTCACACAGGATTTAAGTCTCAAAAGAAATAAACCAACAACAACAAAAAGTTTCTTCAGATATTGGCATTTCTACAGTGAACAGCTGGTGACAGCATCAGGAGCCCAGAAGGGCCAATATGCTGAGCTTCAGTCCTCAGAGCAGCTGCCCAGACAGACTGAGACGTCCAGTGGGCCTTCTCCACCCTCTGGTGACAGTCTATCAGCGACAGCAGTAGCAGCAGCAGCAGCAGGTAGAAGCGCCAAAAACATCCTCACGTTCTCTGCCAAAACCCCAGAGAGCTCCCTCCCCTCAGTACAACATCACATACGAACATGTGGATGACATGTACACCCAGTTCACATGGTGCCAAAAAACCCAAAAAGAGCATAATCCACTTTCAAACCTAAAGGCTGATATAGATAACAGATGCCTGGTGCCTCCTGAGACCTACCTGGAAAATTATGTCTGGAGCAACCTAACAAAAGTAACGAGAACAAAACAAAAAGATTCTTAACACTGAGCCCATTTCATGTCCCTTATAAAATCATTCCTGCACCCTCTGTTGACTTGTTTCGGTCACACGAGGATGTAGGATGTTCCAAGTGTCTTATATTGGCTCTGAGGACTGAGGAGCAAGTACCAAGGATGGTGCTAGAGGAGCCATCAGCGAGGATACACGAGACCATCCTTTGCGAAATTTATTGTGAACTGACATGCTCCTTTATGAGAAACTGGTGATTGGTCAGTTCAGATGGACTGGAAGAAAGGACGTTTCATGCCATTAATAAGATGTTTCCTCAAGTCTTTTCTCCTCACGTTTCTCCACGCATTTTTACTTGCATCTTGCAAGTAGCACTAAGAAACAAGGAAAAGATGCAAGTCAGGGAAACAATGATGCTTATAAGAGACAAGAGATGTACCCAGTGTCTACTTGCTTTTGCTTCACTGTACTTTGTAGTACAAGGACCAATAGTCTGTGTGTTACTAAATCTAATGGAGGTGAACTAACAGGAGGTAAAGCTCCTATTAAAGCACAACAAGCAACAGTAGGGACAACCCATAGCATATTACTCTGGCATTATAGGAGCAGGAACAACCTCCTGTTTACAAATTTTTAATTGCTGCTTTTTTGATTCATCAAATTTGTGAATGAATGATAACGCCACAGAGAGTGCCCAGGCAGCTTCGCCACAAGAGGTGAGGCTGAGTAAGGCTGGGTAAGTCATGTACTGTTGGTCTTGAAGGGAGGTGAACAATGTACTGTATGATAAGAATAATTTCTCTAATAAAGCGATCACAAGGCGTGAGCATATGCAATTAGAAGATGGTCACAGATGGATCAGAACACTATGTCCAAAACAAAAAGAGAAACACGGTGCTGGGGAAAAAGTGTGAAAGAGATTGACATAGGAGGAGACAGGAGACTTAAATAGGATGGATGCCTTCCAGCCCAGTTTCACAGTCCTAACATCTCTGCATTCATTTATCAATATAGTATTTGATTCTTTTCCATAATGAATAGCTTCTGTACTTCCCTTTAAACTTTACAATATAATACACTATAGTGCACAATAAGGTTTCTGAGCCAGTCTTAGGATCCAGAATGGAGGGTGAGCACACGTCAGCCTCACAAAACTGCTTGATGTTCAAGTCACTATCAGGCCTGACACTGAGACAGTCCCGAAGTCTGGTTGCTCTGCTACAGCAGCCAGATGCCTCAAATAACCAGAAGTGTTTCTCGGTGCCTCAGTCCTGCCCTGGGTCCTTGGCAGGGCCTCCGTCTAGGTAGATCTTGAGGGCTTTCTCCTTGCGTGGCGAGTAGCTGACACGGTGTCCAGTCTTGAGCAGACGACTGCTCTCCTTCTTCATCAGCTCATTGCGCTCATCCTCCGACAGCTCTACAAGTTCCTCTGTGTTGTCCCTGCAATACAGGGAGTGGGGGTGGGGGGGCACGATGGCAACACTTGTCAGTACATGATTATTGCTCTGAAAATGCACATCATTTGATGTTCAATTATTAACCTGTGGATCCCTGATGACAGGTGTCAGAATGAGTAACATTACACTGACCGGCCACTTTATTAGGTACACCTGTACAAATGTATGCAATTCAGTACAACACTTCCACCTTAACATCTGTTTATGAAGCTCAAAATGTTTCAGTTTTTGGTGAAATTGTCATAAATGAATAAATTCTATTTTTATTATTGAGGTCATAGTAGAAGGTGGTGCTGTCATTACATAACTTTGACACTTGCATTTAAAAATAATGTGTATTATTTTGGGTTAACCATGTTTGTAATTAATTTATAAGGGAATCATATTTCTCTAATCTGAGATAATATAGACCATTTGAAGTTTTATATTGGCATATGCCTAATGAACACAATAAATACTTGGAGATATTCATAGTCCGGCAATAATGATGAGATTGACTGCTTGAGCATAGTCCTGTGTGTCTGTCAAATGATTTGCGAGGACAAAAACCTAAACCTGTGCTTGAATGTGAACTCTTTGTTTTGGGGCTTTTTTTTTTTTTTTTTTTTTTACCTGTAGAAGACCACAGCTCCATCATCACAAATGTACAGAGGCCACACATTAAGGGTCGACACCTTAGGGTTCCAGTCCAAATCCTGATGGATCTCCAACACAGAAATATCACAAGGAAATGTTCCTCTGCCCTGCGCACAGCCAAGATATGGCTTATCAGTAAAGTAAGAGATGGAGAAAAAAAATTGTAATTTTTGAGGTAACTCAGTTCACATACCTTTGCAAACTCCAGGTTTTCAAGAGGAATATCACTGATTTCACTAAGCTGTAAAGACAATACAGAAATAATTAGAAATGGATAGAAATATCACAATATCACAGCAAACAGGAATGCACACACTATCAAGAAAAGCGTATCTCATTTAATCAATAAAAGGTAGTAATAATACTCAGAGCAATGATGAGTATACATGAGCAGCATTTTCAGACAGGGAGGCGGTGCATGACCATAAATTGTGATTAGATAAACATTCAGCAGGTGACAGATGTACCTTCTCCTTAAGTTCTTCCACACTACTGCTCTCCAGAATCACTTCCTGGAAGGGCCCCAGCTTCAGTGTAGCTGGACTCCACCTCCGGGTGAGAACAGCCAGCTGTGACATAGACTTCATCTTCTCTGGCTCTGACAAACAGATAGCAGACCACGGATCAGGTTACACAGTAACTGTACTTTACTCCACCTGAAACGTCAGCAGGGAATGAGCACAGTGAAGTACATTTTGCTGCACTCTGGGTCTACTGTACTCTCCAGTACTACATTTATCTGCTAGTTTCATAGCAGTAGATCATTTCACCTTTTCGTGTGTGAAAAAGCAGCTTTGAGTATTTTTTTTTTAGAACTAGTTAAAAATGTAACATGGAAGTGAATTACGGCAATATAGCAGGCCTAAGGTATGACAAAAGCCAAATATTGCAGAATCTGCAGAGCAAGTATTACCATTAAGGACTTCCAGGAAAACCTCCCAGTTAGAGGAGATGCTGATGTCCTCCTCATAGACATGGTAATCCAGAAACACTGTGCCTGGGTTCTTCCATGTCTTTTTCCTGAGACGAACCCTGACCACACACATATACATAAAATGTTTAGTTCTTTAAGATCCAGTTGTACCCACTTACCTGTAAGGGTAAGATTATTCTGTATGTTGTCTCTTAGTAATAACCTGCTTTATATACACACCTATATTTTGTTTCAAAATGAATTTCATGGCCCCAGATTTGTGATTCACTTTAATATGTGTGATCTCAAAATCTTACCGGTCAATGCCGAGGTCAAGCTTGCACTGCTCTTTCAACTGAGGAAGCAGCTCCTCTTTGGACTGTCTGACAGTCATGCCCTTGGCAAACACCGTGTCCACAAGGAACTTGCAGGGCTGAAAACACAAAAACACATGACAGCATATTGAGCAACACAGTCAGGTCATTTTAACCAAAGTCTCGTACATCACAGTGACAAAAAAAAAAAATAAAAATTCCTATTTCTTACCTCTGGTTCATTCACCAATAGTTGATACACTTTAACTCTGTATTCACCCTTTCTCAGTGCTCTTCCTAGTCGAATGGTTATCTATGGAAAGTAAAACATCTTAGTTCACTCTCGCACAGATTACTAACATTTTATTAATTCTGACGATTTATCCTGACCTTGTTATCATCAGAGAAGGATGACAGCGTGTCATTGAGCCGTACACTCTCAAACTCCTGGTTGTTGGCATACACCCGAAACACCTTGAACTGGGTTGAGGTGACTCCTACATATGGCTCCAGGTTCTGTTTAAATGCTGCTAATGTTATTCTCTTGTCCACATGAACCACTAAACCTAAAGCAGATCACAAGAAATAACAAACATATTCTCAAAATTATTTCCCTCTAGTAAGAAAAATATCTCCTGAATATGTTGGTCACTACCATTCTTCTCTAAGGCTGAGTTTATCAAAACGGTGAAAAAACACAAGACTTCTTATTTGTTTGAAACGACAAAGTAGGTTAATATAGCAGGGACTAGCACCATGGTGGGCTCTGCCAAAACAAAACAGCATCTTATGGGCAAATGTTGGACCTGCTTTTTGTTTTTTTCCAGTAACACTATGTGACGTCATCCTGCAAAGCACTGGATGATCAGTCATGTGACTGGCCAACAGGACGGGAACGTCGTGTTTCTACTGTTCACCTCGAGATTGTCACAGATGAAAAAGTTGCAGCCATAATAACTTTCCAGAGTTGTAAAACCTGCCTGTGAGCATTACAAACTACTGTGCTGCATTCTGCCATACAATAAGCTTCAAACACATCCAGTCCAGCTGGACTTCCTGGATCGTATTTCACTGGCACAGGAAACAACACACCCCCTACAACGTAGCCTGCTGTACTGTTTCAACATAGGGTGTCTATCTATCTGAATGCAGCCTATTAATTAAGTGCTAAGTGTTCATAAGATTGCTCAGACTGAATTGTGGAAGGGAGTTCTGATGATTAATCATTTATATTGAATAATACATAAAATGTTTGTACATTTTTGTGCTTCCCATGAGGAGTCATCCTGAGAACACGGCTCTGCTCTGAAGTACAGGTACTGAGCCTCTGCCTTGCTCTTCCCATTGTCGTCATACTCGCTGTCGGTCCCCGAGTCTTCTTCAGCAGTGTCCCAGGTCTCTTTTTTACCCTCATGGGCTTTGGAGCGCCGGCTACTTGTGATGCTGTGCGAGTCCAGGCCGTTGGCCAGCTGTATGGGCCCGCTATCTGCATTGCACAGCGTGTCACTACTGTGGCTGGAGCTCAGAATGTCGCTGTCCACTGAGCTGGTGCTGCGATCATTGTTCACCTCAGAGTCTGAGCGCTCCTCACAGGCAAAGTGGTTGTCAGCGTCAGAGGTGGCACCACCGCTGCTCCCAACTGCGCCCCTGATCCGGTTCTCTAACTCTCTGTTGTCTGCCGCCACACAGAGTGAAGAGTTGGAGTCAGCCTCTTGGGTTGGGGATTCGATATGCTCAAAGTCGCTGGCGTCAGAGCTTTTCTGGCTGTCACTGGTGCTGGAACCCTGGTGCTGCTGCTGCAGAGACAGATTCTTTAATTTTTCTGTGCTCTCCTCGAGGAGAGCCTCTACAGATTTCCTGTTACCCTTTGTCCCATCAAAGGGCACATCAGAGTCACCTCCTACTTTTTGGTAAAGAGTTCTGTTGGCCAAGGTTCCAGGAGACTGCTCAGGCAGTAAAACAAAGAGTCGGATTGTATTCCCGTGACGATCCAACAGTTTCCACAAGAGTGAGTCAGTGAAAGCAACCTGAAGATCTGTCGATTCAGAGCTCTCTACAAAAACCTGATAAAAATATAAAACACAAACAGGGAAGAATCAAACTTTATCATGCTTCAGTGTTCAGAGTACCGCAGATGTCCTGACTCTTGACTTTTGGTCAAAACTGGCATAACACAGTGAAAACAAAAGTCAGAAAAGACAGAGACCTTGTTGCTCCTGAAAAATCCCTCTGCCTTCAATGTCTTGTTTGGAACATAGAGGAGCCGAAGGTCATTATAGCAGCGCTCTAGAACCACACGCATGGTTTCTGCAGACAGCCCTGCAGCCTGAGAAAAAAGCACATACAAAAGGCATTAGTGTGCAAGACTAATGTCATGTTTTCACAGGTAGTGTACAGGGTGTATTTTACTATTTTCTATGTTCCTGAATAAAAAAGTTGAATGAGGCAAACAAAGAGAGAAAGAAACTGAGTAGAACAAGAAAACCTGTGCAATAAGTTGTTTGAATTCAGTGACTGTCTGGTTCAAGTATGCCCGAACACTGATTGGAGAGGCGATGGTCTCGTTCTTCAGATCCACAACATGAACCTTCACCATCACCTCTGTAGAAAATCAGAAACACACCCATAAAAATATAAAGCAGTCATTTTGCCTGGTATTCTGACCATGTACATCCATCATCGGTATACATTACATTCTCTCATAAGCAGAGCACTTTTTTGTTACTTTGAGCAATGTTTTTGCCAAGGGTCTTTGTTGAACTAGGCTACAGTCTGTATAGGCCTACATCATGCCATTATTTATTTTCATTTAACAACTGTTAAACGACTGTGTGCAGACATCTGGTCTGAATAAACACTGTTTTGTTAAACCATAACTAACTTGGGTGTGATTTTCCTCGTTTTGCATTCAATTGTTCCAATAGAAACCACAAACAAATAAACCAGAATGTTTTAATGCAGGCATATGTTGCAGGGACTACCAGCATCACCATATGCATCAAAGGGTTAACTGAGTATTTACCAAGAGCTTCAAAGGAAATGTCAAAATATCAAGACATATATTGTGTACTACAATATGGTCTAAAAATATCACAATATTATTCATCAGTCATATTGTCCAGCTCTACATCACAGTTGTCTTGCAGTAACAATTGTCATACACAATCTGCTATGTGGTCTTTAATTTCAGACACTCCTAACTGAAAAGTTAGTGACTCAGCAATAGCAGGCTACTGACCTCCGGGTTTGTAGGGCTGGAATACCTGCTCTGGCTGGCGGGTCTCCAGCAGCAAGTCAAACATGTATGATGACTTGACTCCTCCCAGCAGGAGGCCCATTGGTGTGTCCTCCTCGCCTTCATAGGAACGTTCCAGGTATTCATGGAACTCGTCATACTTGACCAAGCGACAACAGTCCAGAAGGACGACTCCCTCCAGCTCCATCAGCTGAGATCCAGAACACAAATTAATGTGAGTAATGTAAATTCTGTCATTATATAAAAAGAAATTAGTCCATATATAGGAATCTTTTAGGCCAATATCAATTAATTTTGTATAATTAGTATTATTTACAGCCATTTTCCAAAACCCACCATAATTCTTTTCTTAGTATTACATAATTGTTGTGGTACAGTGGTTGCAAGTAAAATCCTTCTTTTTAAAGTCTCTGATTCAATTCAAGGATTCTCCTGCATTTGATAATCAGTGGATAGCTGTAGGAACACACTGCAGCGATGAGCTATTCTGTTAGAAAACCAGATGGAGAAGAAAACCATTAAAGCCAACAAACCTTATAGGCCATCTCTGTTGCTTCTCTGAGAGTTTTATCCTTGTGCACTTCCAGCTTGCTCTCCATCATCATCTTTACTGGGTGCATGCAGAAAAGCTTTATCTGAAGGTGAAAAAGAAAAAACATTAGATCAAAGTTAATAAAATCCACACAAGCAAAACTGTGGATGTTAACCAAACCAAAAGGCCATATACCTTACAGGTGTTGCGTTCAATCTCTCTCTGTCTCTTTTCCTGCTCTTCAGACTCTTTCTCCTTCTGAACTAAACTCTTTATGTGCTCTGGGAAGTCTTCCACAGTTAAATACTCTGTAGACAGAACAGAGAACACATTAGATCGACTGGAGCACAGACAGCGCAATGTATTCTATCATATTGTATGAGTGCTCAAACCACAATTAACATGACAATGAATAATGTTCAATTAAGAGCTAAAGCCAAGCTATGTCTCTTTAGAGAGTGATGGAATGCAATGTCTCCAACACAGAACAAACACTCGTACTAGGCAAGCTTAGATAAGGTGGTCCACAGACTGGGCTTTGTGCCAAGGTCTCAATCTCTTTCCTTGAGAAAGCCAACATCAAAATAATTAATGAATTCAGAAACATGAACATCAGTTTTGAAGCCCAAACAAGTTGTATCCTAAAACATGGTGAAAACCACCACTGCTGTCCTTTAACACAGAACAGGGCTTTGTTGTTGATTTTAAGAGATGAGAGAACCAATATGTGTCATGTTTATGTTTAAATGTCAGGTTGGTGGCAATATTATGACAGATTTAACTTAACATATCTCTTACTTGCATTCCGTGAGGGATCTTTCAATCTATAAATCAGCATATATGCATTTGTAGAGCTGTTGGGAGGAAAACATATCTTGTTAATGAATGTAGTGGACTATATCCTATACAGAGAAAACATCATTCAGTCTGTCCCAAGAGTAACTGCCTATTCCGAATTTATACTGAATTTGAAAGTACAGTGAACCGATAATAAAAGAGGAAACTTCTTGGAACACAGATGTAAATAACTGGTTCATGTCTGTTCGCTTGTCTGTAAACGTGATGCTTATGAATACACTGAGTGTTGGAGATAAAGATAAGGGACAACTGACCTTGCAAAGGCACTAGAATAATAGCCTCTGCTCCCTGAGGAGCCTCCATATGTCTTCCTGATATCATCCTGGGTGATCTGCTCAAGAGAAATGCAAAGGAACCTATTGATAATATTCAACAGCTACTACCACTGTAATGAGAAGTAGAATGTTAAAATGACAGATTAGTACAAACACAACAAAACAGCACTAATACAGTCTGGTATGTCATTCTGCTCAACATTTAAACAGTATAAGAGGACAAAACATGTTACACAAGGGCTGAGGCTGACCTTACTAACATGCTGATCATTGAAACTATACCACTGGCCATCACTGAAGGATTTGATGCAGGCGTAGTAGTGGCCACCTGCAGCACTACCAGAATGGACCATGATGGAGAACAGTTCAAAGGTCAGCAAACTCTGAGAACAGACAAAAAAGTCCTATTGTTCAGATAGAAACAAAAACCAAGTTGTATTTTTGAAAAAGCAAATGGGAAAAGCATGCAGAGCACAGAGCTTCAGCTGTATGTAACAAAACCGCTGTGAGTGCTGAATACAAAGTACCAAGTGTCAGCTGCTCTAGGTCATCATCTGGAAAGTGCAGTAGACATTATGAATAAAAAGAAACATCTCATGTAACAAGACGTGGGGAATAAATCATCACTTTCCAGCTTTGTCTACCAGCAGGCAGTTGCTCAATAATATTTCCAGGAGTCTCCCCTATCACTACACTCCTGGAACAGCAACTAAAGGTGAGAGTCAACTGTCTAACATTCTGATCCAAAATCTGTTAAAATGTATTAAGATCTGGTGACTGAGAAAACCACAGCATATTATTGGCAACCTTTACATACTCCAACATTCAATGGTTCCTCACATCCACTACGAAAGCATCTGCATCTGTTAACTATGGAGATTAACATCAATCAACAATATGTACATATGAATACAGTGAGCAGTCAAGAGGATTACCTTTGGCTTCAACATCCTCTCTGTGTTGCCAGTGCTGTCCAAGCAGATGCCCTCATCCACACAATCATCAGTGGAAAAATCATTGCTCATCTGGTCGCTGTGGCAACTACCTTCATTCTCTGCTCCACTGTCAGTACAACTCTCTGTCTGAGGCGACTTCTAGAGAGGGGGTCATTTCAAAAACAAAAATAGCCAAGGTTTTAAAAATTGTTTTGACACAGTGGACATACAGAGTATATGGTACAAATATTGTGAGTAGCATTTCAATAAAGTGTGCCACATACTGTAGCTCAATAAAGTAACTCACAAAAAAAAAAAAGTTCACGTCTCTGTAGACATATTAATCTAATGTAAATCAGAAACACTGCCACTGCCGCTCTCACCTCATCTTCCACATCAATGAATGGACTCATGTCAAGCTCTTCAGGGAAAGCCATGCGGTCATTAAGCTTGATGCGATGCATAGTGGTGTAGTCGAAGTCGAACCGCTTCAGCTGTAGTGTCAGCAGGTAGG